TGATCGTACCACTGCACTGCAGCCCAGGTGACAGAGCAAGACTCTGTCTCTAAAAAAATAAACCTTTTTTTTTTTTTTTAGACAGAGTCTCACGCTGTCGCCAGGCTGGAGTGCAGTGGCCTCACCTCAACTCACTGCAACCTCCGCCTCCCGGGTTCAAGCGATTCTCCTGCCTCAGCCTCCTGAGTAGCTGGGACTATAGGTACGCACCACCACGCCCAGCTGATTTTATTGTTAGTAGAGATGAGGGTTTCACCATGTTGACCAGGATGGTCTCTATCTCTTGACCTTGTGATCTGCCCGCCTCAGCCTCCCAAAGTGCTGGGATTACAGGCACGAGCCGCTGTGCCCGGCCAAAAATAAAAAATTTTAATTAAAAAAGAAAGGATTGCGGCAGGGAATGGTGACTCTTGACTGTAATCCCAGCACTTTGGGATTACAAATCCCTGTCTCTACTAAAAACACAAAAAATTAGCCAGGCATGGTGGCACATGCCTGTAGTCCCAGATAGGAGGCTGAGGCAGGAGAATCACTTGAACCTGGGAGGCAGAGGTTGAGTGAGCTGAGATCACACCACTGTACTCTAGCCTGGGCAACAGAGTGAAACTCCATCTCAGAAAAAAAAAAAAAAAAAAAAAAAGATTGCTCTGGTTGCTGAGTGGAGAGAAGGCTATAGGGGAGCCAGGGGAGAACCATGGAGCTCGGGAAGCTATTTCAGTAATTCAGGCAAGAGATACTGGGGACTGTGGTTTAGCCCTGAGACGTGGTGGGACTCTGGATATATTATTTTTTTTCCTTTCTCTCTTTTTTTTTTTTTAGACAGAGTTTTGCTCTTGTTGCTCAGGCTGTAGCACAATGGTGCGACCTCAGCTCACCGTGACTTCCTCCTCCTAGGTCCAAGTGATTCTCCTGCCTCAGCCTCCTGAGCAGCTGGGATTACAGGCATGCACCACCATGCCCGGCTACTTTTTTTGTATTTTTAGTAGAGATGGGGTTTCTCCATGTTGGTCAGGCTGGTCTCGAACTCCTGACCTCAGGTGATCTGCCCGCTTCAGCCTCCCAATGTGCTGGGATTACAGGTGTAAGCCACCGCGCCTGGCCGACTGTGGATGTATTCTGAAGGTGGTGCTGTATTATTTGCTGGTGAATCCACTGTGGGGAGTGAGGGAAGAGCAGAGTCAGAGATGGTTCCAGAGTTGCAGGCCGGAACCTCTGGAAGATTAGGGCTGCCCTTTACTGAGATGGGAAAGGCAGGGAGGGAAAACCATGCTCCCTATGCCACGCCTATGAGATTTCCAGGTAGAGATGTTAGAATTGGCCTTGGATGTGCAAGTCCTGGGCTCAGGGGAGTGGTCCATGCTGGAGATGTCAATTTGCGAGTCACCCATGAATAGGTGGTATTAAATATTTAAAGCCACGAGCACACCAGGTGAGGTGGCTCACACCTGTAACCCCAACGCTTTGGGAGGCCAAGGCCAGGAGTTTGAGAGCAGCCTGGGCAACATAGCAATATTCTTTTTTTTTTTTTTTTTGGCGGGGACAGAGTCTTGCTCTGTTGCCAGGCTGGAGTGCAGTGGTGCGGTCTCGGCTCACTGTAGCCTTCACCTCCCGAGTTCAAGTGATTCTCCTGCCTCAGCCTCCCAAGTAGATGGGATTACAGGCATGCGCCACCATGCCTGGCTAATTTTTGTATTTTCAGTAGATATGGGGTTTCACCATGTTGGCCAGACTGGTCTTGAACTCCTGACCTCATGATCTGCCCACCTCTGCCTCCCAAAGTGCTGGGATTACAGGCATGTACCACCGCTGCCCAGCCGCAACATAGCAAGATTCTGTCTCTATAAAAAATTTAAAAATTAGCCGGGCATGGTAGCATGCGCCTGTAGTTGGGAGGATTGCTCCAGCCCGGGAGTTTAAGGGTGCAGTGAGCTGTGATGCCACCACTGCACACTCCAGCCTGGGCGAAAGACTGAGGCCCTGTCTCTAATACATAAATAAATAAAACCATGAGCTATGAGAAACTGGCGCAGGAGTCCCACAGGCTGGAATGCTGGGGGCTTACTGACTTTTAGAGCCAGGAACTGAGGAAAAACCAGCAGTGGATATTTTTGTTGAGTGAAGTAATGATGGATGGATGAAAGGATGGATGGACTGGTGGGTGGATGGATGTGTGGCTAGATGGATTGATGGATGGGTGGGTGGATAGGTGGGTGGATAGATGGGTGGATAGATGGGTGGGTGGGTGGATGGGTGGAAGGAGACATGGATGGATGGATGAATGGCTGGGTGGGTGGATGGATGATGTGTGGGTGGATGGATGGATGGATGGATGGATAGGTGGAGGGATGGATGGATGGGTTGGTGGAGGGACGGATGGATGAGTTTGTGGACAGATGTATGTATGTATGTACGTATGTATGGATGTATGTATGGATGAATAGATGGGTGGGTGGTTGGTGGATGGACTAGGTGGAGGATGGATAGGTGGAGGGATGAGTGAGTGGATAGAGGGGATGGGTGGATGGGTGGAAGGGCAGATGGGTAGATGGATGGGTGGATGAGTGTATGGGTGGACGGGGTGTATGGATGGATGAATAGATGGATAGATATGGTGGGTGGGTGGATGAGTGGGTGGATAGCTGGGTGGATGGGTGGATGGATGGATGGAAGGAAGGGTAGATGGGTGGATGAGTGTATGGATGGACAGATGGGTGGATGAATGGATGGATGAATAGATAGATGGATGGATGAGTGAATGGGTAGATGGGTAGATGGATGGGTGGGATAAGTGCATGGATAGATGGGTGGGTGGGTGGGTGGAGTGCCAAATGGATGGGTGGATGGATGGACAGGTGGGTGGATAGGTGGGTGGATGGGTGGGTGGATGGATGGGTGGATAGGCAGACGAATGGATGGTGGGTGGATAGATGGGTGGATGGGTGGATAGATGGATGGGTGGTTGGATGAACGGGTGGGTGGATGGGTGGGCGGATGGATGGGTGGGTGGATGGATGGATGGATGGATGAATGTATAGACGGATGGATGGGGGATGGGTAGATAGGTATATTGATGGGTGGATGAGTGTATGGATGGATGGGTGGATGGATGGACAGGTGGGTGGTGGATAGGTAGAGGCGGATGGGTGGGTGGATGGATGGGTGGATAGATGGATGGATGGTTAGATGGACAGATGGGTGGGTGGATGGGTGGGTGGATGGGTGGATAGATGGATGGATGGTTAGATGGACAGGTGGGTGGGTGGGTGGATAAATAGGTGGATGGGTGGATAGATGGATGGGCGGATGGGTGGATAGATGGATGGGCAGATGGGTGGATAGATGGATGGGCGGATGGGTGGATGGGTGGGTGGGTGGATGGATGGATGGATGGATGAATGGATAGATGGACAGATGGATGGATGGATGGGTGGATGAGTAGATTGATGGGTGGATGAGTGTATGGATGGATGGGTGTGTGGGTAGATGCATAGGCGGTTGGATGGACAGGTGGGTGGATGGGTGGGTGGATGGATGGATGGATGGATGGATGGATAGATGGATGGATGGGTGGATGGGTGGATGGGTAGATGGATGGGTGGTGGATGGATGGATGGATGGATGGATGGATAGATGGATGGATGGGTGGATGGGTAGATAGGTAGATTGATGGGTGGAAGAGCGTATGGATGGGTGGGTGGGTGGGTGAGCAGATGGATGGGTGGATGGATGGACAGGTGGGTGGATAGATGGTTGGATGGGTGGATAGATGGATGGGTGGATGGGTAGATGGGTGGAGGGATGGATGGATATCCTTTGCCACCACTGTAGGGCAGGCTGTGTCACCCCACCCTGGACTATTACAGCAGCCCTCTTGTGCATCTCCTTGAATCGCACCGCTCACTCTCTCCTAATCCATCCTCCATAAGTCGTCAGTGCTGCCCTCTCCTACCAGACATTCTGGTTGTCCTGTCCTCTGCATGAAAGGCCTCACCCTCCTCTCTGTTCTATTCTTTGCCTGGTAAAATGTTTTTTGCCCTTTGTTGTTCTCTGGGAAGCTCTCCCTTAGCCTACCTCCACCAGCTTTCTCTTTCCCTCCCAGCTCCTTCTGGGATCACAAGGATCCTTGTGTGCAAACCCACATATGCTCCAGTCTGCACAGTGAGCTCCATCCACACTCTCCACGAACAGCTGTTGCCACGTTTCTGGCTTAGAGGTGTGCACACTCAGCACGGGGCCCACTCTCAGGAGGACGGCACAGGCCTGAGGCCGAGTGAGCCCTGGTACCCAGAGCGTGGTCCACAGGTAGAGAAGTGGGCTGCAGGTGACCGCATTCCCGGGCCCCATGGATTTCTGGCCTCAAGGGGAGGAGGAAGGGCCAGAATGGGAATGGGTGCATCTGAATAAGGGTGGAGCTGAACCTGCTGCTGGGTGTCCCCTGCATTTCTCAAGTCAAATGATGCCTTACATGGGCCACCCATGAGAGCTGGTCTTCCTCAGAGGGGACAGTTTCAGAGGAAAATGGTTACCCTTGACTGTCTTCTGACTTCTCTTAGGTAAGCCACCTTTCCTATCTGTCTCTCTCTCTCTCTCTCTTTTGAGACAAGGTCTTGCTCACTTACCCAGGCTGGAGTGCAGTGGTGCAATCATAGCTCACTGCAACCTCGAACTCCCAGGCTCAAGCAATCCTCCCACCTCAGCCTCCTGAGTAGCTGGGACCACAGGCATGCACCACCACTCTTGGGTAATTTTTGTTGTTGTTGTTGCTATGGGGGTCTCACAGTGTTGTCCAGGTGGGTCTCTAACTCCTGGCCTCATTGTTAAAGAATAAGCCAAACTTGGAGAAAGATCAATGCCCCAGAAGCCGGCTGCAGGGGCTTTTGGTTGGCAACCTCTCAAATACACTGTGGGTGGTGGAGGTTCCCTAAAGCAGAGCCCTGATCCCCATCCAGGCCAGGGAGTTGAAGGCAGATTAAATCGATACGAAGGAAGCTAAGACACAGTTTCCTTTAAAGGTTTTCATTTATTAGTCATTTCTGAAGCAGTTAATTCTCTTTTCTTATTTAAAAAAAAAAGGTGTGTTTCATCCAGAGTTATATCAGAGTGATTAAAATGATTTTTCTACTGGGGATACAGCTCCCCCGATCAGAAAAAAAAAATTCTCTTTTTTTCAATGAACCACAAAAATAAAACCAAAAGAGAACATCAACAATCAAAAATAATCCCCAAATATCCAGGACAAAAAATAAAATATTTATTGATCTATCACAGCGAGACACAAAAAGATGGGCGGGGCAGGAGTGGGAACTGCTCTGAAGTTCAGTGGACCGAGGGAGGGATGGGGGGGATACAGTACTGCATGTAGGGACACCCCAGGTGGGGAGGAGATGCCTAGCACCCCAGTCTGCATAGCCCCGCACACCCTGGGGGAGTGTAGGATGGGGTGGAGGCAGGGCACAGGCTGCCATGACAGGTCAACCAGGTTGATGGTGGGTGCACCCAGCCAGCTAGTGGTGCCGGGCGGTCAACTGGGGACATGGATGGATGGACGGATGGGTGAATGGACGGATGGGCGGATGGATTCCACAAGAACAAGGTGGCTATTCCCAGTGTGGGGTGGTTTTCCAACCCAAAGGTGCCCCAGATGTGGGGAACAGCGATTGGTGGGGAGGAGATGGCCAAGTGGACGCAGGAGAGGAGGGATGCTATGGGCGAATCCAGCTTTGAGGCTTCAGGTGCTTGGGTACCAACTGGACGGCAGCCAAGGGTGGGTCCTGGTGGGCAGGGGGAGCTGGGACTGCCCAGGAAGTGTCTGCACCATCTTTAGAGGAGTCCCAGGGAGGGGGTTCCCCGAGGGGCCATCCTTCCCTCCTCCCTCCCCCCAGGAAGATAAGAGCACCGGCGTGTAGCACCAAGTTTCCCTGGAGATGGAGGCTGTGTGGAGGGGGAGCTCCTAGGTGGGAAGGGATGGGGTGGGGGGCCAGGACTACACAGCCCTTGCCTCTGAAGTAGGGGGCCTCCTGGTCGGGGCACTTGGCCACTCCCCTCTTATTTCCTTGCCCTGTGGATCTGCAAGGCCGCCCGGCCTGCCCGTTCCCTCCTGGGGTGGGGAGTCGGGGGGCATGGGATGGGGTTACAAAGGGTTTACATTCTCCACCAAGCAGTAGCACCAACGTTGATGAGGTCGTGAGTCAGGGGTCCTGGGAAGCTCATTTTCTCTTCCGGCCACAAGCTTTCCCCAGGCAGGCCGCACCTGGATGGGAGGAGGTGCACATGACCATGAGTCCGTCCCCTCTCAGTTTCGGCTCTAATCCCCGCCTGCTCTGACCCACTCGGTTGGAGGCTCCAAGAAGTCACCAGAAGCCAAGCCGTGGCCCCAGGCCAAACTCACACCTGATCCATGCCATCAACTTCCACTGGACAGATGGGGCCGGAGAAGCCCCCAAGATATTACTTGGATGAAACCAACACTTGCAGAAAAGGGGGCAGGTCATGGGACCTGGCTGGGGAAGGACTGGGCCTGGCACTGGCTCCTGGCTCCACTGCTCCAAGAAGCCTTTCGGGGAAAGGCTAAGGGCAGCTCCATCAAGGAACATGGGATGAAGGGAGAGTCAGTGTCTGCAGGAGATGGCTCTCTCAGGGAGTGGGGTGGACCCATACATCTGAGAGGGCATCGGATAAGTAAATCAAGGCCCAGTAGAGGGAGAGAGGGTCTTATCCACATAGTGTCTGAGCTGGGACCCAGACCCAGGATTCCTACACCTCCTGGGAATGGTCTGATGGGTGAACCCTGTTTCAAGGCATCAGTCTGCCTTAGGTAAGGCATCATTGTCTAGTGGCGGGCCCGGAGTAGTTCCTACCCTTGCTTGAGCCAGATATGGCTCCTTACTGCCACCTGGTGGCTGTGAGCAGAGAGTAGGGCAGGAACAGACATCTGTCTCTGAAGTTTTTGTTTTTTGTTTGGAGACGCAATCATCTTGCTCTGTCGTCACCCAGGCTGGAGTGCAGTGGTGCGGTCTCAGCTCACTGCAACCTCTGCCTCCTGGGTTCAAGCAATTCTCCTGTCTCAGCCTCCAGAGTAGCTGGGATTACAGGCGCACACCACCACACCCGGCTACTTTTTGTATTTTTAGTAGAGACGGGATTTTGCCATGTTGACCAGGCTGGGGTCTCGAACTCCCGATCTCAGGTGACCCACCTGTCTCAGCCTCCCAAAGTGTTGGGATTACAGGCATGAGCCACTACACCCAGCCCTCTCTCTGAAGTTTGTCCCCTGGTTTGGGAAATGCCATGATAGGGCCACAAGCAAGACTGTCGCCCTGTTGAAAGCTGGGCACCCTGGAAACAGTCAGTTTGATTTTGCCTCTGCCCCTCCCACCCCGGCCTCAGCTGTCTCATCTGTGCAATGGGGAACAGGACTGCGTGGAAGGGAATTCACAGTCCTGAGTAACCACAGGGGCACGGCTGTGACTTCTCTGGGACTCCTTTTGGTATCATATGGAGGACCTTGCGGGGAGGCAAAAGAACCGCCCACACCCTCCCCAGAGGTGGATCAGCCTATTTTATTTTTGAAGCAGGATCTTGCTCTATTGTCCAGGCCGCAGTGCGGTGGCACAATCACAGCTCACTGCATCCTTGAACTCCTGGGCTCAAGCAATCCTCTCGCCTCAGCCTCCAGAGTACCTGAGACTACAGATGTGCACCACCACACGCAGCTAATTTTTAAAATTTCTGTAGAGACAGGGTCTCACTCTGTTGCCCAGTCTGGTCTCAAATTCCCGGTCTCAAGCGATTCTCACGCCCCAGCCTCCCAAAGTGCTGGGATTACAGGTATGAGCCATCGCGCCTGGCTAGGTCTGCATCTTTTTTTTCTTTTTTGAGATGGATTTTCGCCCTTGTTGATCATGTGCAATGGCATGATCTTGGCTCACTGCAACCTCTGCCTCCCCAGTTCAAGAGATTCTCCTGCCTCAGCCTCCAAAGTAACTGGAATTACAGGCGTCCACCACCATGCCTGGCTAAGTTTTTGTATTTTCAGTAGAGACGGGGTTTCACCATGTTGGCCAGGCTGGTCTTGAACTCCTGACCTCAGGTGATCCACCCGCCTTGGCCTCCCAAAGTGCTGGGATTACAGGCATGAGCCACCACGCCTGGCCAGGTCTGCATCTTTGTGAAGGAATGTGGCTTAGCCCTAGGTGGTAGCTTCAGCCCTTGCTGCCCAGCCCAGGGCACCTTGCAAGTCCCACGCCCACACCCTCTGGTTTCCCTGACTCTGCGGCTCCAGAGGTCCCAGCCCTTCTCCTTTCCTTCTCCTGCAATGTTTTCCTTCTCTTTTCCAGTTTACTTCCTGTAGCAGGCTAAGGGACTTTGGGAGGGACAGCCAGGCCTGGCCTGGGGTGAGCTTAGAGGGCCCTGAGTCCACACCCAGCTCTGAATATCTGTGTGGGAGGTAGGAGGGATGGGCAGGAGGTATCCATCCCCCTTCCCTAACCTCCTTGCTCCAGAACCCAGGCTGGTGGACCATCTCTCCACCTCTGTCTCTGCCCTTCCTGCCCTGCCTCTTTAGGGGGCTGAATCTCTACTCACCTTGGTATCCCAGGGCTCCCAGGGCCCCTCCAAAGGGCTTGGGGGGTTTTCCTGTGGATGGGGAGGACAGGATGGAGGAGGGAGCTGGGCTTTCCTGCCTTTCCCTTTCCCTTCACCTTGGACCTGGCCTCCATTATGTCTCAGCAGGTTCCAGAGTCCTTCCTGCCTCCAGCCTGCCCCTCAGCCCCACCCAGCCTGTCCCCCTCTGTCCAGCTATGCTCCTATGCTCCTTGCAAATCACAGATGCATGCTGTCTGTGGAGACCTCAGCGACTCAGCAGGTACCTCACCCCACCCCACCCCAGTCAGCCCTGACACATTTCCCAGTTTTGGCCTTGCCCACGTGACCACTCAGCTTCCCCTCCCAGCCCACCCTGCTTGCCCTGACCTTATTCTTCCCTTACACAGCTTATTTTTCTTTCTTTTTGAAATATTTTAGGCTGGGCATGGTGGCTCATGCTTGTAATCCCAGCACTTTGGGAGGCTGAGGCAGGTGGATCACTTGAGGTCAGGAGTTCGACACCAGCCTGGCCAACATGGTGAAACCCCATCTCTACTAAAAATACAAAAATTAGCCAGGTGTGGTGGCGGGCGCCTGTAATCCCAGCTACTCAGGAGGCTGAGACAGGAGAATTGCTTGAACCCAGGAGGCGGAGGCTGCAGTGAGCTGAGATCATGCCATTGTACTACAGCCTGGGCAATGGAGCAAGACTTCATCTCAAAAAAAAAAAAAAAAAAAAAAAAAGAAAGAAATATTTTGTAGACATGGGGTCTTGCTATGTTGCCCCGGCTGGTCTCGAATTCCTGGCCTCAAGCGATCCTCCTGCCTCAGCCTCCCAAAGTGCTGGGATTACAAGCATGAGCCACCTCACCAGTCTTTATTTCCCTTTCTATGGGACCTTGTCAATCTCTTCAGTTAGACAGTAAACTCCAGGGTGACTCAGGTCCCTGTCTGCCTCTGGGGGCCTTGTCATGGGCCAGGCCAGGAGCCTCAGGAATCAAGATCCTGCCTAGCGCTGGATCCTGCCTAGCGCTGGAGTTCCAGCTTCCATGATTCCCCTGTGGGCTCCCTGAACCCCCCACGCCAGGGGGCCAGCCCAGGTCCATGGTCACTCCAGTCACCCCATGAAAGGAACTCAGGGGCTCCCTGCTTGAAATGGGCCCCACCAGGCATCAGGTGACTTCTTGTTGTAGACTCACCACCAACTCCCAAGCCTCCAGCGCCACCACCTGCAAGGCGAAGAGAGGGGCTGTGAGTGTACCCACTTCTGGGGCGCCCGTCAAGCCCTCTCAGACAGCATGGGTTCAGCCTGAGGCTGGGGGCGGGGGCAGTGTGGGCTGCAAAGGGCCAAGTTCTGGGCTTGTGTGCCCTGGGCTCTGCCTCTGCTCACTGTGTGATCATGGAGCAGTCCCTGGCACTCTCTGAGCCTCAGTTTCCCCCCTTTACAACATGGTGGAAAAGCTATCTGTCCTCCATGGACCTTGAGGAGCACGAAATGTGATTTTTTTTTTTTTTTTAAACGGAGTCTTGCTTTGTTGCCCAGGCTGGAACGCAGTGGCGCCATCTCAGCTCACTGCAACCTCCGCCTCCTGGGTTCAGCCGATTCTCCTGCCTCAGCCTCCCGAGTATCTGGGATTACAGGTGTGCGCCACCACACGTGGCTAATTTTTGTATTTTTAATAGAGACGGGGTTTTGTCATGTTGGCCAGGCTGGTCTCAAACTCCTGACCTCAGGTGATCTGCCTGCCTTGGCCTCCCAAAGTGCTGGGATTACAGGCGTGAGCCACCACACCTGGCCATGAACTGTTTTAAAAAACCGAACGTTCCCTGTTTTTGTAAGAGGTCAGCAAGAAGGAGGGGAGGCTCTATGTTCAGCTCGGGGTCCAGCCTCATGTGACCTGAGGCTGTGGGGTCCACCTGTGGGTGCTGGCTCAGCCCTTCTGAGCAGGAGATGACACAGCAGAGGAGGGAGGAGGTGGCTGGAGCTCTAGAGCAGGGCCCAGGGGCAGGGAGCCTGGCGTACCTGGGAAAATGGGAGACAGTCCGAAGCCGGGTCTCGCTGCCACTCCTGCAGGAGAGATTTCGGGTTGGTGGGTTGGTAGGGGTGGGAACTGGCTCTACCTCATCACTCTCTGCCTGCACCGGCTCACCCAAGACCCTCTGTCTGGGATCATCTCCTCTCCATCCCCCTACTATATAATTTTTTTTTTTTTTTTTGAGACAGAGTCTCCCTCTGCCGCCCAGGCTGGAGTGCAGTGGCCGGATCTCAGCTCACTACAAGCTCCGCCTCCTGGGTTTACGCCGTTCTATTGCCTCAGCCTCCCGAGTAGCTGGGACTACAGGCGCCCGCCACCTCACCCGGCTAGTTTTTTGTCTTTTTTAGTAGAGACGGGGTTTCACCGTGTTAGCCAGGATGGTCTTGATCTCCTGACCTCGTGATCCACCCGTCTCGGCCTCCCAAAGTGCTGGGATTACAGGCTTGAGCCACCGCACCCGGCCTATATAATTTTTTATATTTTATTTTATTATTATTTTTTGAGACAGGGTCTTGCTCTGTTGCCCAGGCTGCAGTGCAGTGGTGCGATCTTGGCTCACTGTAAGCTCTGCTTCCCAGGCTCCAGTGATTCTTCCGCCTCAGCCTCCCGAGTAGCTGGGATTACAGGTGCCCACCACGTCTGGCTAATTTTTGCTTTTTTTTTTTTTAGTAGAGACTGGGTTTCACCATGTTGACCAGACTGGTCTTGAACTCCTGACCTCAAGTGATCCGCCCACCTAGGCTTCACAAAGTGCTGGGATTACAGGCGTGAGCCACCGCGCCCAGCCAGTCTCCCCCATTATAGCCAGAGCAGCTTTCTCAACACAACGTGCCCCCACCTAGCAACCAGGTGTGGCACCCCGTGGCCTCAACCCTGAGCTCAGCCTGGCACTGTCCCCAACCTTACAGCTTGCCCCTTTGCCCAGTACATCTGCGGTCCTAGAGTATCCTCTCCAGTCCCAGTCTCCTGTCCTTGTGTGGACATGGGCTCCGGGAGTCCCCACTGCTAGACAGACAGGCCCTCTCTAGATCTGGGCAGAGCTGAGGACTACATAGCAGAGCTGGCCACCCCTACCTCCAAGTGGGAACTACCCGGCACCCCCTAGGACACCTCCAAGGCCAGCAGCACCTGAGAAGAGGCAGGTGGGTTCAGGACAAGCACCCCCATTTGGAAGAGGCCCTGATATCCCTGCTGGGTTCTGGGGTAAGGGATGTCCCAGACAAGATCTTCAGAGGTAGGGGGAGCCAGAGGGAGGCCTGAGCTGGGCTGGGGGAGGGTGGTGATGGGCATAGCAGGGGGTGCAGGCCACTGGCAGGAAGGCATCAGAGGGGAACTCACCGTATTTAGCTGCTTTGGCGGCTGCAGCTGGAGACACACCTGGAGAGATGAGGCACATGATGGCTCAGGAATGCCACCTGTCAGGTCCTGTCTCTTTTTTTTTTTTTTTTTTTTGGGGGGGCAGTCTTGCTCTGTCGCCCAGGCTGGAGTGCAGTGGCGTGATCTCGGTTCACTGCAACCTCAGCCTCCCAGGTTCAAGCGATTCTCCTGCCTCAGCCCCCTAAGTAGCTGGAATTACAGGCACCCACCACCATGCCTGGCTAATTTTTGTATTTTTAGTAGAGACGGGTTTCACCATGTTGGCCAGGCTGGTCTTGAACTCCTGACCTCAGGTGATCCACCTGCCTTGGCCTCCCAAAATGCTGAGATTACAGGTGTGAGCCACCGCACCTGGCTGGGTCCTGTCTTCTGACCTACTCACCCTTTACCGTCTGCCCACGGACTCATCCTCCCAGTATCTATCCCCCCATCCTTCCTTCATCTGTCTAGGGTCTTGCTCTGTTACAGCCCAGGCTGGAATGCAGTGGCTCGATCACAGCTCACTGCAGCCCTGAACTCCTGGGTTCAAGTGATCTTCCTGCCTCAGCCTCCCAAGTAGCTGAAACTACAGGCACACACCACGCCCGGCTAAGTTTTAAATATTTCGTAGAGATGGGGGTTGGGGGGGTAGGGTCTTGCTAAATTGTCCAGGCTGGTCTCAAACTCCTGGCCTCAAGCAATCCACCTACCTAAGCCTCCCAAAGTGTTGGGATTACAGGCATGAGCCACCATGCCCGGCCCCAAAAGTCCTTAACTGTTAAGCTCCTCTTGTGTGTCTGGTCTTGTGGAACTCACAGGAAGAGCTGTGCAGGCCGGTTTAGAGGGGGAGACACAATGACAGCCCAAGAAAGGGGGAAACGGCCACGCAAGATCAGCCACAATGGCGGAGACTTAGGGAAAGCAATTTCTTTCTTTTTTTTGTTTTTTAAGACAGAGTCTCGCTCTGTCGCCCAGGCTGGAGTGCAGTGGCCGGATCTCAGCTCACCGCAAGCTCCACCTCCCAGGTTTACACCATTCTCCTGCCTCAGCCTCCCGAGTAGCTGGGACTACAGGTGCCCACCACTGTGTCTGGCTAATTTTTTTGTATTTTTAGTAGAGATGGGGTTTCACCGAGTTACCCAGGATGGTCTTGATCTCCTGACCTCGTGATCCACCCTCCTTGGCCTCCCAAAGTGCTGGGATTACAGGCGTGAGCCACCGCTCTTGGCCAGGGAAAGCAATTTCTCTCCAAGCTTTGATTTCTTTCTTGGAGAATGGGCAACTCCCACCGCAGTGGTCATGTGGGTTGAAAGAGAGGAGAGGGGGAGGATTGGGACCCTGGCAACCAGGGATAGCCCCAGCTCCCGTTTGCCACATTCTTTGTTTTTATTTTGTTTTGGGAGGAGGTCTTGCTCTGTTGCCCAGGCTGGAGTGTGGCAATGCGATCTCAGCTCACTGCAACCTCCACCTCCTGGGTTCAAGCGATTCTCCTGTCTCAGTCTCCTGAGTAGCTGGGATTACAGGCATGCATCACCATGCCCGGCTCATTTTTATATTTTTAGTAGAGACATTGGTGGAGTTGCTGGAGCCCATGTTGGCCAGGCTGGTCTCGAACTCCTGACCTCAGGTGATCCACCCACCTCTGCCTCCCAAAGTGCTGGGATTATAGGCATGAGCCACTATACCTGGCTTCTTTTTCTTTTTCTTTTTCTTTTTTTTTTATGACAGGGTCTCACTCTGCTGCCCAGGCTGGAATGCAGTGGTACCATCTCAGCTCACTGCAGCCTCCGCCTCCTGGGCTCAAGTGATCCTCTGGCCTCAGCCTCCCAAGTAGCTGGGAATACAGGCACCCACCACCACGCCTGGCTAACTTTTGTATTTTTGGTAAAGATGAGGTTTCACCATGTCACACAGGCTGGTCTCAAACTCCTGACCTCAGGTGATCTGCCCGCCTTGGCCTACTAGAGTGCTGGGACTGTAGGTGTGAGCCACCGCACCTGGCCGAGAGGACGTCTTGAGCAAAGACGTGGCAGGGCTGGGAAAGAAAGTCTCTGTCTCTGTCTCCATCTCTGTCTCTCACACACACACACCACGCACTCACTGATTTCAGAACAACTCTTACCTCCAAGGCCCCCAACACCTGGGACGGCTCCAAGCCCTCCGACTCCGAGTCCTCCGACTCCGAGTCCAGCGGGTCCCCCTAGGCCTGTGGAGAGAGCTCAGCATTGGACTCTGCCGGTCAGAAAGGTGGGACTGAAGCCTCAGCCTGCGGAGGGTGGAGGTGTCCTCTGGGGACCCAGGTGGAGCCTGAGCTCTCCCGGCCTTCAATGGCACAGTGGAGCCAGGAGGTGTCTGGAGCAGGAAGTCTGAGTCTACAGTGCCTGGTCAGAGGCTCCTCCCACACCCTGGGGGCCTGGGGGTCTGGCAGCAGCTCCCACCTCCACCCAGTGCTCACCAAACTGGGCGGCTTTGGCAGCAGCTTTGGCTGCAGCAGCAGCGGCGGCAGGTCCGGCTCCTGGGAATACAGACCGAGTTCAGGGAGGGACTCAGTACTGATTAGCCTCCCTCCCCAGCCAGCCCTTCCTGGGGTTTCAACTCACCCACCACACCGCCTGGGATGCCTACTCCACCGAGAGCCCCAACCCCTCCAAGGGCCCCAGGCACTCCTGCTCCTGCGTGGAGAGGAAAGAAGATGAGTGGTCCATTTCTGAACAATGGATCTCCCTGCCCCAGGAACAACAACACAAGCAGACAGGTGGCAGGGGCCATGTGACACAGGGGAGCAGCAGCGGACAGGAAGTCCAGTCCTTGTTTTGTTTTGTTTTGAGATGGGGTTTTGCTCTGTCACCCTGGCTGGGGTGCGGTAGTACAATCATAGTTCATTGCAGCCTCCGACTCCTGGGGTCATGCGATCCTCCTGCCTTAGCCTCCCGAAGGTGTGCGCCGCTGTGCCTAGCCTTAAAAGTTCTTTTGTAGGCCGGGTGCGGTGGCTCACGCCTGTAATCCCAGCACTTTGGGAGGCTGAGACTAGTGGATCACCTGAGGTCAGGAGTTTGAGACCAGCCTGGCCAACATGGTGAAACGCGGTCTCTACTAAAAATACAAAAATTAGCCAGGCGTGGTGGTGCGTGCCTGTAATCCCAGCTATTTGGAAGACTGAGGCAGGAGGATCGCTTGAACCTGGGAGGTGGAGGCTGCAGTGAGCTGAGATCGTACCACTGCACTCCAGCCTGGGCAACAGAGCAAGACTCTGTCAAAACAAACAAACAAACAATGGCAATAGTATCTACAGCAGGCACTTAACATTCTGAGTGCTTCACACTTAGCAGCCCATTTTTTATGCATTGCAGCAGGAAAGGTAGGCACTATTGTCATTCCCATTTTGCAGATGAGAATGCTGAGGCAGAGCAGAGGTTAAGCAGTGTGCCCAGGGCTTCAGGGGCGGGAAGTGGCTGGGGAGCCTGCACCCTTCGTGGCTCCACCACGTGACGTCACTCTGTTTCCCTGGCAATGTCTGTTGACTCAGGCCTGCCAAGCAGTCAGCAGTGAGCAGGGGAGGAGGCAGGGCCGCTGGGGGTCAGGGCTGAAGAAGCCAGGATTTTCCGAGGTAGAAACTGGCCCCAAGTGGACCTGCCCGGTCGGTTGGTGGATCCCTGGGGGAGTCTTCTACCTCCCCCTAACTCTGCTCACAGGAGGCCAGGAATGCAGGGGCTACAGACAGCATGGGTCTGGCCAGGTGGGACTGCCACGTCTTCTGGGCTGGCTCGTGGCGGGAGCAGTCCTGCTGGCAGGACAGGAAGGCAGGCGGGGGGCCGGGGGTGCCCAGATGAGGAATACCAGCTCCTCTGCTCGGGCCAGAGAGCTGGGGTGGAGTCAGAGACTGTCCAGACTCCTCATACCCACAGCAGGCCCAGCCCCTTCCTGGATGCAGGGACTATGAAACTGTCAGGGTCAGAGCGGGCTTAGGGACGGTGGAATTACCTCCTGGGGGGCAACTGGGATTTCAAGGGTGTTTTTGGTGGTCACAGGGGTTGAAGGCACCACAAGCATTTAGTGGACAGGGGCCAGGTTTTTAAACTGTCATAAATGTGTCCTAGAAACTGCCTTTTTTTTTTTTTTTTTTTTTTTTGAGACAGAGTCTTGCTCTGTTGTTCAGGTTGGAGTGCAGTGGCGTGATCTCGGCTCACTGCAGCCTCCATCTCCTGGGTTCAAGTGATTCTCCTGCCTTAGCCTCCCGAGTAGCTGGGATTATAGGTGCGCACCACCACGCCTGGCTAATTTTTGTATTTTTAGTGGAGATAGGGTTTAACCATATTGGTCAGGCTGGTCTGGAACTCCTGACCTCAGGTGATCTACCAGCCTCAGCCTCCCAAGTACTGGGATTATAGACGTGAGCCAACATGCCCGGCCGAAACTGCCTTTTTCTATCGTGACCACCCGAGTCCTGTGCTGTCAGGGACTGTGTGGTGGTGGCAAGGGAGCCACAAGTGGTTGTGGGGTACACTCACCATATTTGGCTGCTTTAGCGGCAGCCAGGGCTCCAGGTACTGGGGAGAAAGAAAAGTCGGGGGGTGGTCAGCAGCCGAGCTCTGTACCTGGGAGTTCTACCGCCTCCTCTAGGAAGCCCTCCCTGACCTCCTTGGCCTTTTGCTTCCTCAAAGCCCTGAAGCTGTACAGGCACAGAGCTTTAGGGCTGAACAATGCCTCTGCCTTCCATCTGGCCCCTCCTTCTCTCCTCAGGCCTAGCATGGCCTGCCTGAGGCTGGGGACAGAGTGGGGCTCAGTAACCAGCTGGTGAAGATCTGGAGCTCCTAGTGGCCCCCTGGCCACAGAGCACTGCTGAAGGGGAGCCACGCTGATCTACCTGCTCCTTCCCTGGTTGGAGGGCAAGCTTTTTCTCAGTCTGCAGCCCTGCCACCCCTCTACTGAGGAGGCAGATACTCTGCAATTGGGCAGCCTGGGGTCTCTTGGCCTGGTCTGCCCTCCTCCCACTGTCCGTTACCTCCAGATACTTAGGAGAACCTAACAAGGATTTTACTATGCACCCCTGGGTGGTGAGGGGGTGCTGGGGAGGTGCTGGGAGTAGGAGGGATCTCGTTCCCTGAGCTCAGGGGACAGGCTCCGCCTAACCCCTAGAAGCCCCCTCACCCGCACCTGCCCCAAAGCCAGGAACACCAGCACCAACTCCAAGCCCAGGAACGCCGACACCAACTCCAAGTCCAGGAACGCCAACACCAACTCCAAGTCCAGGAACAGCACCAAGCCCAGCTGCAGCTCCTGCAGACAGAGGGCAGTGGTGGCGACAGCAGGCAGGGAGCATGCCCCTGAGGAGGTGTCCTGCCCAGGGAGCTGAAACTAGTCCCAAAGGAAGGGGCCCAGATCCAAGCAGCAGCCTCTGCCCTGGCCGTTGCTCCTAACCAGCTCTGGGCTCGTTGGGGAGAGGAGAGAAAGGTGGGTGAGGCACTCACGGAGCTGGGCTTTGGCGGCTGCCTTGGCAGCAGATTTCGCTGCCGCTGGGGCTCCCACTCCTGGAGGAAGAGAGAGGGGATTAGAGATGGAGGTGGGGCCGATGGAGGCTTCGGGGGCCCCTCAGGCTCACTGACTCATGAAACTCACCTGCAACTCCACCAGGGCCGATGCCAACGCCAGGAGCTACGCCAACGCCAGGAGCTACGCCAACGCCAGGAGCCACACCAACGCCAGGAGCCACGCCAACGCCAGGAGCCACGCCAACACCAGGAGCCACGCCAACGCCAGGAGCCACACCAACGCCAGGAGCCACGCCGACACCAGGAACTAACCCTGTAAGATTGAGAAGAGCTGATCATTAACCAAGGCCCAATCAAAGAGGACAGAAGCTTATGGAAAGAGGGCTGGAGCCTCGGCCCTGGCATAGATTTGCTGTGTGACCATGGATCAGTTACTTTCCCTTGCTGGGCCTCAGCTTCCTCATCCCTAAAATGAAGTGTGTGCAGGCTCAGGAGTTCATAACCTTGTTTTTTTGGAGACAGAGTCTCACTCTGTCATCCAGGCTGGAGTGCAATGGTGCGATCTCGGCTCACAGCAACCACCAACTCCCGAGTTCAAGCAAGTCTCCTGCCTCAGCCTCCTGAGTAGCTGGGACTACAGGTGCGCACCACCATGCCTGGCTAATTTTTTTGTATTTTTAGTAGAGACAGGGTTTCACCGTGTTGGCCAGGCTGGTCTTGAACTCCTGACCTCGGGTGATCCACCTGCCTCGACCTCCCAAAGCGCTGGGATTATAGCTGTGAGCTGCTGCATCTGGCCAGGAGTTCTTAACCTTTTCAGGGACAAGGACCCCTTGGAGATTTGAGGCTGATGGAGGCAGATTTACATTATATAAGGGGCTTTGTAAGACAGAAAGGCTTTGGGTTCAAATCTCAGCTCAGCCACCGTTTAGCTGTGCAACTGTAGGCAAGTTACTTAAGCTCTGGGAACCTCAGTTTCCACATCTGTAAAAGGGAAAAATAAACTCAACTCTATAAGATTGTTTGTAGGCCAGGCACGTTGGCTCATGCCTGTCATCCCAGCACTTTGAGAGGTCAGCGTGAGAGAATTGCCTACAAATTTTTTTTCTTTTTTTTTTTTTTTTTTGAGACGGAGTCTCGCTTTGTCGCCCAGGCTGGAGTGCAGTGGCCGAATCTTGGCTCACTGCAAGCTCCGCCTCCCGGGTTTATGCCATTCTCCTGCCTCAGCCTCCCAAGTAGCTGGGGCTACAGGCACCCACCACCTCGCCCGGCTAGGTTTTTATATTTTTTAGTAGAGACGGGGTTTCACCGGGTTAGCCAGGATGGTCTTGATCTCCTGACCTCGTGATCTGCCTGTCTCAGCCTCCCAAAGTGCTGGGATTACAGGCTTGAGCCACCGCGCCCGGCCTCTTTTTTTTTTTTTAAACTGGGCATGGTGGCACGTGCTACTAGGGATACTAATGGGGAAGAATCGCGTAAGTCAGGAGTTTGAGGCCTGCAGTGAGCTATGACAGCATCACTGCACTCCAGCCTGGGCGACAATGTGAGACCCTGTCTCAAATAAACAGGTAATAAAGATTGCTGTGTGTGAGAATTTGGGCCTCAGCAGGCCTGCAGTTGAAATGCTGTCTGGCCTATTCAGCCTTAGAGATTCCGATCTGAACCTTTTAGCCCACAGGTCCCTAGTGCCAAGGCCTACAGACCCCATGCCCAGGGCCTGATATACAGTTGAGCTCTACAGTTGGTGCTGCTACAATTTGCCGTGTTCAGAAAAGTGTGGGCACCTGGGGCTACCAAGGTGGCCCTCAAATATAGCAAAAGATGGGGAACAAGAAGTACTGCAGCCTGGGCGTGGTGGCTCAAGCCTGTAATCCCAGCACTTTGGGAGGCAGAGGTGTGAGGATCGCTTGAGCCCAGGAGTTTGATACCAGCCTGATCACCATAGTGAGACCACTGTTGCTACAAAAAAATTAAAAAATGAGCCAGGCATGGTGGTGGGCACCTGTGGTCGCTGCTTGGGAGTTCGACGCGGGCAGATTGCTTGAGCCTGGCAGGTTGAGGCTGCAGTGAGCTATGATTGTGGCACTGTACCCTAGCCTGGGTGACAGAGCTAGACCCTATCTCAAGAAGAAGGAAGAAGAAGGAGAAGGAAAAGAAAGAAGAAGGAGAAGAAAGAAGAAGGAGGAAAAGGAGAAGAAAGAAGGAGGAGAAGGAGAAGGAGGAGAAAGAAGAAGAAGGAGAGAAGGAGAAGGAGGAGAAGGAGGAGGAGGAGGAGGAGGAGAAGAAGAAGAAGAAGAAGAAGAAGAAGAAGAAGAAGAAGAAGAAGAAGAAGAAACAAGGAAAGAAGAAGGAGGAGGAGGAAGAAGAAGGAAGAAGAAGGAAGAAGAAGGAAGAAGAAGGGAAGAAGAAAGAAAGAAGGAGAAAGGAAGGAGAAGGGAGGAGGAGAGAGAAGAAAGAAGAAGGAGAAGAAAGAAGAAAGAAGAAGGAGAGAGAAGAAGAAGAAGAAGAAGGAGAAGAGAAGGAAGAAGCAGGAGAAGAAGAAGAAGAAAAAGAAGAGAGAAGAGGCAGAAGGAGGAGGAGGAGGGAGGCTAAGGAGGAGGAGAAGAAGGAAGAAGAAGGAAGAGGAGGAGGGTAAGAAGGAGAAGGGAGAAAGAGAAGGAGAAGGGGGAGAACTGGAGTCCGTCCAAGGGCTGGAGCTCAGCATGAGGTCAGGTCCCTCATAGCCTGGGAGGCACCAGGGACTTTAGGAAGAGGGAGGCTCACACCCATCACCGCAAGCTTCCTAATCCAGAAACGTCACCCACACTCCTGGGAGTCATCAGTGGACCAAAAGCTCTAAGGAGGTCCCACCCCAGGCAAACAGCCCAAGAGGTGGAAAGGAAAGGGAGCTGGGCGGTCAGATCCCAGATCAGGGCCACATGAGAAGGCAGCGCTCCGTGAGCCGATGGCAGGGTGAGAGGACACCCAGAGCTGGGCGGCTTTGGCTGCTTTGCCCAGCTGCAGCTGCTGGGGTCCCCACTCCTAAGAGGTGTGAAGAGAAGGGGTGAGGTGGTCTCTTCCTTGCCCTCCTGCTTCCCATCTCTAGGCTCAGTCTTCCCGTTTGTAAAATGGTGCAGTCGACCTTGGTCGCTCAGGGACCCTTCCGTGAGACAAACTAAAGCAGTCTCTGGGCTGGAGAACACACAGCTCACCTGGCACTCCTCCACGCCCGGCACACCTGGGACATGCCTCCGGCACCTGGCACCAACCCACCCAGCCTCCTGCTCCTGCCCAGCACCTGGGGGAGTGGAGAACTTTCAGCCTTGCCCCTCAGTGTAAAACTAGCAGAGCACGGGTGGGTGAAAGAATCGGGAAAGAAGAGAAGCAGCTTCGGCACCTTCGTTTCTTTTTATTTATTTATTTTTATTTTTGGAGTCGGAGTCTCCCTCTGTCACCCAGGCTGGAGTGCAATGGTGTAATCTCTGCTCACTGCAGCCTCTACCTCCCAGGTTCAAGTCATTCTCCTGCCTCAGCGTCCCAAGTAGCTGGGACTATAGGTGCCTGCCACCATGCCCAGCTAATTTTTGTATTTTCAGTAGAGACGGTTTCACCATGTTGGCCAGGCTGGTCTCGAACCTGGCCTCCAAGGGATCCACCTGCCTTGCCTCCCAAAGTGCTGGGATTACAGGCGTGAGCCACCCAGCCTGGCCAGGCACCTTCGGTTCTGGGGGTGGGGGGTGGGGTGATGAGCAGGTCACCAACAGTCCTAACAGGAAGCATCTGAAAAGGACAGTAAGAGTGGAGTGTGGCTTTGGAAGATGGGGCAGGGGCCTGTTGACCTTGGTCAGGCCATTTCAGTCGGAGAGGCCTGGGAGTCAGTTGCCCTGAGGTTGGTCCTTGAGCCCTTAGAGGCAGGGCTTGGGGTCAGGCAGGGCAGAGTGCCGTACTTGGCAGCCTTGGCGGCAGCTGCTGCCTGAGCTTCAGCTACAAGGAAATGAGAAAGAAACAGACCCTCAAACCTGGCCTGGAGTCTCCTCCGAGCCGTGTTTAAGCTCTTGCCTGTAAGGCATGGACGACCTCCCTTCTCCCCCAACTCCCTGAGCACATTGAGGCCCGATCTACAGTCCCACACCCTGCAGAGCTGAGCAGACAAGAAACCCGCCCCATCTCTCTTCTCAACCCATGTCCCCAGATGTGACGAAGGCTCACGGGAAATGCAGCTCCTGGAGACACACACCTCGACTCAAGAGAACACCTCCAACTCCGGGATGCCTCCGACTCCGACTGCATAGCGGAAAACCAAAAGTAGGAATGCCTCCAACTTTCAAACTCCCGGCCCTGGCCCCTGCAGAGGAAAGGCCAAATGGAAAGAAGCTCTGGGGATGTTGATGGACTGGGGAAGAGAGTGCAAGTTTCCCCCAGGCCTTGTCCACCAAAGGCAAAACTGGGATGCCTGGAGTTCCCATAGCCTCCACCATAAACCTTTACAAAAAATTTTTGGAGCCAGGCGCAGTGAAGCATGCCTGTAATCCTAACATTTTGGGAGGCTGAGGCGGGTGGATCACGTGAGGTCAGGAGTTCGAGACCAGCCTGGCCAATATGGTAAACTCCCATCTCTACTCAAAACACAAAATCAGCCAGGTGTGGTAGTGTGCACCTGTAATCCCATTTACATGGGAGGCTGAGGCAGGAGAATCGCTTGAGCTGGGATCACGCCATTGCACTCCAGCCTGGGTGACAGAGTGAGACTTCGTCTCAAAAAAAAAAATTTTTTTTTGGCCGGGTGCGGTGGCTCATGCCCATAATCCCAGCACTTTGGGAGGCCGAGGCAGGTGGATCATTTGAGGCCAGGAGTTTGAGACCAGCCTGGCCAACATGGCAAAGCCCTGTCTCTACTGAAAATACAAAAATTAGCCAGGCATGGTGACGTGGGTCTGTAATCCCAGCATGTAGCTTCTTGGGGAGGCTGATGCATGAGAATTGCTTGAACCTGGGAGGCAGATTCAAGTGAGCCAAAATCATGCTACCGCACTCCAGCCTGGGCAACAAGGCAAGTCTCTATCTCACAAAAAAAAAAAAAAAAAAAAAAAAAAAAAAAAAAAAGAAAACAATTTTAATTCATTTTTATTTTTGTAGAGATGAGGTCTTGCTATGTTGCCCAGGCTAGTCTCTGGCCTCAAGTGATCCTCCTGCCTTGACCTCCCAAGTAGCTGGAAAAAACAGGCACATGCCACTATGCCAGCTAATTTTTACATTTATGTAGAGACAGGGTCTTGCTATTTTGCCATGCTGGTCTCTAATTCCCAGCCTCAGCGATTCTCCTACCTTGGTCTC